TATATGGGTTGTAATACTATAATTAAGACAATATTTGGAGAATCAAATCATAAAAATTCATGGTCCATCCCACTCTGTTTCTCAGTTAACATGAAAGAAGAAAATCAAAGAACATATATAAAATGAAAGCCTCGGAAAGGAATTAAAGGGACGAAAGACCAAAATTGGTTGCCACTCATAGATTAATGCTAGTTTCTTATTTCGTTTTTATAGTATAATGCATGAGTGTGATTATGAGCTTTAGGCTCAGTTTGGAAGGAGTACAAATACAAATATATATAGTACCAATTTAATATAATCTCTGTTCATATCTATATATATATATATATATATTAAAGTAATGAAATCAGGCCAAAGTCTCCTAGTGACATGTGGCCTATTTACATTCAGACGCCTGTCATTTCAAAGATTTAAACAAAATGGACACGTGTCAAAATCTGAATAGTGGTAGTTTAAGAATAGAACCCACTAGACATATGTCAAACTCTGATTAGTGGTAGTTCAAGAAAAGAGCCCACTAACATGAAGAGTGGAGCCCACCACCATGTAGAGTTGTGAGAAGTGGAAAGCTCCCATTGATTTCCTAAAAAAAAGAAAGTTGTGCTATTAATTATTGTTAACTAATAAACTAATTAATTAAGTCCAGCTACTAATTACTAATAATAATTACTGTTAAATACATTTAATGAATTAATTACAACTATTAATTACGGTTAACTACTTCTAATTAATTAATTCCAGCTATTAATTACTAATAACAATTACTCACTGATAGGGGTGGCAATTTTCCCCGTCCCCCGACGGGTACCCGGGCTCCTCGACCCGGCCCCGATTAATCTATATATGTAATTATATATATAATATAATATATAATCCTATATATTATTTATAATATTTTATATAATATTTATATTATAATAATATAATATTATATATTATATTATTATTCATTTTTTATTAAAACATAAAAAATACTCGAAGTGTCCAGTCTTCAAGACTTCGACAGAGAGACTGACAGTGAAGAGAGAACTCTGAACCCAGAAGAGCCAAAACCAGTCTTCTTCCATCATCTTCATCATTGACTTTTCAACTGCTATCGCTATCGCCACTTGCCTRTTAAACATCAGACATCATTGGACCTCTATCGTCGTCGACCACCAGTCTACCACTTGATGAGGAGGAAGTGGAGGGGAAGTAAGAGAGAAGATCTGAATGGGTTTTTCGGCAAATAATCTCAACAGATCTGAATGGATTTCTCGACGATAATCTGAAGATCTGAATGATAGTGCTATGGGTTTTTGTTGATTCTTTGTTTTTTTTTCCTATCTTCCTTTTTTCCAGTGGAGGAGTTGGTGGCTATTCGTATATTTTAGAGCTCTATGGTGGTTATTCGTATCTTTTGGAGCTCTGTGGTGGCTATTCGTACCTTTTGGAGTCTGTTGATTCTTTGCATTTGCTCTAGCTATTCTAGGGCTAAGAGTTTAGATTTTGTAGTGACCCTCGGGGATTCGAGTCCCCGATGGAGAATTCATCCCCGTCGGGGACGGGGATGGGGGTCAGGGTCAGGGATGGGGAATGTAATCCCTGCCCCAAACCCACCTCGTTACCATTCCTACTCACTGATAATAATTAATTATTACAAATAATTTCTTATAATAATTAGTGCTATTAATTATTTGCTTATAATAATTAATTAGTGATAATATTGCTCATTATTAATTCAAAAAAATAATTTCTTATAATAACTACTACTAATACTTAATTACTGATAATTTATTAATGACAATATTGCTCATTATTAATTCGAAATGGTAATTAATAAATATTTTCATAATGGTAATTAATAATTCGGAAATAATCATTTTATATTTATATTAACTCATATTAATTATTTTGGAAATAAAGATTTAATGGTTTATTATTTATATTATAATTATTATCAGAAATTATAATTCATACATTTATATGAAATAATTAACTATATTATTATAAGTAGTTATAATTAATAATAAATAWTTTCATAATGGTAATTAATAATTCAGAAATAATCATTTTATATTTATATTAATTCATATTAATTATTTTGAAAATAAATATTTATTGGTAATTATTTATATAATAATTGTTATCAGAAATTATAATTCATATATTTATATGAAATAATTAATTATATTATTATAAGTAGTTATAATTAATAATATTATATTAATAAATATAATTATATTATTATTATTATCAATAATTATAATTAATTATTACTAATACTAATGATGATAATTATTACATTGGAATGTTAATTAATTAACGATAATTAATAAGTATTTTAATAATGTTAATTATTAATTGGGATATAATCTTTTTATATTAATATAAATTCATATTAATTATTTTATAAATATATAGTTAGTGTTATTTATTTACATTATTATTATTATTACAAGTAATTATAATTAATACTGTTATTATTATGAATGCTACTATTATTATCCAATAAATATTTCATTTAGTGAAAGTTAAATTATAAAACTTTCAATTATTCAATATTGTTAAAYTTAAAGAATTATAAAAGAAAATATTATTTTATGAATTAACTAAAAATCGTAATTATAACAAATTAATTAGTTAATGAAAAAAATAATAATAATAACATTAATAATAATAATACTTTAATATTACTGATTTCAAAATCAAAACACACATAATAAGAATATATTATTAGTTAATAATAATAATAATAATAATAATAATAATAATAATAATAATAATAATAATATATTTATTATTATTATTGATTTCACAATGATTAATATATTATTAATCTATTAATAATGCTGATTATTATTAAAGATTTTAATAGAAAAATTTAATTACTTATAATTATTTGTTGAAATTACCCATTTTAATTCAGACAATTATTAATTATTAATTTCTTAAAATTATTATTTGCAGAATAATTTTAATTACTCTTTCATTAATCACCTTATTTTTGAGTAATTGGTTTTTTATGTTCAATATATATTTTTTTTTGCAAAAATCCAAATAACTTTTCATTTGCAATGCTAACCAACTTATTTTTCTCTTATTCAGTTTTCCAATAGATAAAAAAAATAAATTAATGATATTTACCTATTTTTACCAAATTATGTATTTATCAAGTTGCTGTCATTGATGATGAGTCAACTTTTTGAAAGAGAGGTGTACTTACTACTAAGAATAATTAATGACTTCTAATTAATTAATTTCAGCTATTAATTACTAATAACAATAACTCATTGATAATAATTAATTACTGATAATAATTTCTTATAATAATTACTACTAATACTTAACCACTGATATTAACTAATTACTGATAATATTTCTCATTATTAATTCGGAATGAYAATTAATAACGATTTTCATAATGGTAATTAATAATTCAGAAATAATAATTTTATATTTATATTAACTCATATTAATTATTTTGAAAATAAATATTGAATGTCAATTATTTATTTTAGTACTATTATCATTATAATTCATACATTTACATGAAATAATTAATTATATTATTATCAGTAATTATAATTAATACTTATGTTAATTAATATAATCATATCATTATTATCATCAATAATTATAATTAATTATTACTAATAATAATGATTTCTGATAAAAATTAATTATTGATTATAATACTTACTGATAATTAATTCTTAAATTATAATAATAATAATTTTTACATTGGAATGTTAATTAATTAATGATAATTACTAAGTATTTTAATAATKTTAATTATTAATTGGCATATAATAATTTTATATTTATATTAATTCATATTAATGTTCTTATAAATATATAATTAGTGTTAATTATTTACGTTAGTATTATTATAAGCAATTATAATTAATACTATTATTATTCTCCAATAAATATTTCATTTAGTAAAGGTTAAATTATAAAATTTCAATTATTCATTATTGTTAAATTAAAAGAATTATAAAAGCAATTATTATTTCAGGAATTAACTAAAAATCGTAATTATAACAAATTAATTAAATTATAATAATAATAATAATAATAATTTAATATTATTGATTTCGAAATCAATACACACATAATAAGAATATATTATTAGTCAATAATAGTACTGATTTCATAATTATTAATATATTATTAATCTATATTACTCAATAAAGACGTGGAATAAAAAATATTCAAATTACCACTAAATGAATGAACTAAAAATCTATGAGTATTCTAATTGACTTGAATTTGACGCATTAACATGCCCAAAATTATAATTTCAACCTACATTTTCTAGTTCTATCTCTCAATTACCATAATTCAAACATACCATTAGGTTATGTACAAGTTTCTCTATCTTTTCCTAAAGATAAATTCTCGCCAGTCTACGTGCGTTGTGGGGGGGTTAGACTTAAAATCTATAACCATGATCAACCAAAAGAAGTGTTGCCACCTAACTTGGAGGTGACTTCCATACTTAGAATGGCCTCATTATTCTCCTTTCTTTCATGTATCCTCTATTGGATGGGTTTCGGAGTCCTAATTATATAATCAGTTGATTGTAGCCATACATGATGATGATTTGATTGTATTCATATATTTTTCATCTCTTACTTTAGAGGATGGATGCATCTATAAATATTGTTGGGCATGGATTGTTTTTCTTAGCAGCTCTTGGAATGATTTTCTTCCTTCTTTGCCTCTTTGAATGGATATCATAAATGCTTTTTATCGATTCATATGTCCCTAAATATTAAGCAGTATTGGTGATATTGTTGTAAACATCTATCTAAGTTTACTATTTTATAAATAGATTAATAATTTCAAAGTTATTGATACTTTTTTGGGGGTGGGTTGCTCAACAGGACAT